AAACCAGACTACCCTATATCTAATAATCACCCGACAATTCACGAAGTTACAAGAAATTTCCAGAAAGCAGGGGGCGTGACCCTAGTCACGTGACCTCGCTGACGCAACATTATTAATTCTTAAATTATATTACTAATTTTAACAACTCTGTACAACAATAGTATTGTTACGACAGAGGAAGTCACGTGACTCTGGTAGCGAGCGTGAAGTTTCTCGAATGATCAGGGAAGCCCGAGTTTGTTCGAGATGCCCTCTTCTTAAGTATATAAGCCTGGCAGTGGAAGCCAGCGGGGTAATATAAAGTGTGTGTTTTGTACTTGTCGAGAGCGAACTTATCGAGAGTGTGAATCGCAGTGATTTTAACGTGTATTATAAAAGTTGTTAAGTTTAAAGTGACGAGAAACGTACGGATTGTGGAACTACCGTGTACTAAAAGTTTGTATCGAGAAAGAATAAACTGGTTTAATCAAGAAAGAACTTGTATTGCTGAAGTTCCTCGAAAAGAATTTCTACCGGAAATTAACAAACAAGCAAATACGTAACAGTATATTAGTTATTTCAATCATTGGCAATCATATAAGTACATGTATGCGCTACTGAAATAACATGTTAGCATGTTCCATTCTTCTATTGTAGTTTTCCATAAATATCTAACGTACAGTTTCGATATTGATAGCAATGTCATAATGATTATGCATTAAAGCTAGAACACTTAGAATTTCTTCGGCTTGTATACCAAAGGCTCACATGAATTTAGTGGCAGTTTGATGATAAACAAGATTAAGACACTTATGATACACAACATTGTTTATTAACAAATAGGGGACATATATAAACGTTTCGGAATTCTATCAGATTCGATCTGCAGTATGAATTTACATAAGTATTTGGACATTACTAAAGTACAAATGCTAAATTTAACGATAATTAAACAAATAAAACACAAAACAGTATCACGAGGAGAAACTACAGCAAGAAAACACAACAACAACAACAACAAAGTAAAAATCAGTAATACAAACATATTAACAAATGTATAATTTAAATGAAGACTGCATGTTGTTCAGTGTTGGAGAATGCTGTTTGATGTGGATGGTTTTTTTAATCTATAATTCTAGGTCAGTATTAGATTTGCAGAGGATAGAAAAATTTGATAGCACAGGTCGATATCATGCTTCTTTACTATGTTGGCGTATAGAGGAAACACAGGGGTTACTCAATTTTTTTGCATTTTAATGGAAATTCCCATATTTTCACAGGCTCTGACTTTTAAATGGCGTTTGGTTTTGCCAATATAGGAGGCCTTATCGTCTCCACACGTGTAAAGATAGACAAGCCAGGAACAATAAGGAATGGGGAGGAGATCTTTGTTAGGGAAATATTTTGTATGCGTGATGTGGATTTAAAAACGAATCTGAAATCTGCTTGAAGGTAGTAATGATCAGGTATGTGTTTAAGTTAAGCTTTGTTTACCGGTATAGGGTAGACACGAGTATATAGTAAGTTTGGGTACAGTT